CACATAAGAGAGACCCCAAGGCATTTGTCTACCTGGGACCCTGCTATTTAACTCTCTATAATAACTTCTTGTTCCAGCCACAGATTTCAGTTTTCTTTTAGCTAAATAAATATCTATGGTGTATATATCCCACATTTTCATCATCTTTTCCTCAGCTTATGGACACCCTAGGCTGATCTATTTTCTGGCTACCGTGAATAGATGTGCAAGAGTCTCTGTTACAGATTAGAGCAACGATGGACAGGGACGTGCAAGAGTCTCTGTTACAGAATAGAGGTCTTTGGGTACATCTCCAAGAGTAGAACACCCATTTTTAGCTTTTTGAGAAACTTCCTTACCAATTTCCACAGTGGCTGCACCAGTTTACACTCCCACCAATAGTGGATCAGATTTCCCCTTTTTTTAAAAATATTTATTATTTATACAATATTCTGTCTGCATGTATTCCTGGAGGCCAGATGAGGGTACCAGATCCCATTACAGATGGTTGTGAGCCACCATGTGGTTGCCGGGAATTGAACTCAGGACCTTTGGAAGAGCAGGCAATGCTCTTAACCTCTGAGCCATCTCTCCAGCCCCCAGATTTCCCCTTTCTTAACATCCCTGCTAGCACCTGCTGTCATTTTTATTTATTTTTTTTTTTTGGTGATAGCCATTTTGGCTGGCATGAGATGAGATAGTAAATCAGTTTTAATTTGCATTTTTATAATGGCTAGTCATGTTGGATGCTTCAAACACAGCAGTTGGCCATTTGTAATTTTTTCTTTTGAGAGCTCTCTGTTCAGTCTTATAACTCATTTTTATTAGGTTTTGTGTTTTCTTCATGTTTTGTTTGTTGAATTCTTTGTGTATTCTAGATACTCTACCAGAGGTATAGTTGGAAAGGATTTCTTCTGTTTCTAGGCTGTCTTTTCCCTCAGAATCTTATTAATACCGTGAAGTTTCATTTTAAAAAGCTATTGGCCTTACATCCTGAGCAATCGGAGTGTTACCCAAAAAGCTGTTGTCTGTGTGTGTATCTTGAAGTGTACTCTCTGCTGTTACTGGCAGAAGTTGAGAGTTCCAGGTCTTATGCTGAGGTCTTTGATCTATCTATCTGGAGTTGAGCTCTATGCAGAGTGAGAGGCAGGGTGTTGCTCATTCCTCCACATGTGCAAAGACCATTTGTGGAACACGCTGTCCCTTCTCCGGTGTTTATTTCTGACGTCTTTGTAAAAAACTCAGGCGACAACAGTGGTGTGGCCTTGCATCCAAGAACTCTTCTATTCTGTTGACCACTATCTGTCTTCTTGTGCCAGTGGATACCCTTGTATTGTTTCTGATTGTAGGAGAAATGCTTTGAAATTTTTCCCATTTAATATAGTGTTGACTAGAGGTTTGTTATATATAGCCTTTATTATATATTATTTTCTATATAATTTGTTATTATGTTTTATAATATATATTCTATTCTGAGTTTCTTTCTTTTTCTCTCCAGGCAGGGATTTTTTTCACTGTCCTGGAACTCACTCTGTAGACAAGGCTGGCCTCGAACTCACAGAGATCCAACTGCCTCTGCCTCCCGAGTGCTGGGATTAAAGAGGTGCACCGCCAGTGCCCAGCTTATTTTGAGGTGCTTTAGGTCTTTCATCATGAAAGATGTCGGATTTTTGTCAAAAGCCTTTATATATCTATTGAGATAACCATATGATTTCTGTCTTTGAGATCATTTCTTTATAACATTTGTTAATGTATGCATCTTGAACCATTTCCTGAACCTCTGAAATAAAGTTAATTTCATTATGGTGAATTATCTTTCTGATGTAGTCTTGAATTGTTTGCAAGTATTTTGAAGAAAAATTTTGCATCTGTGCTCATCAGAGAGACTAATCTGTATTTTCTTTCTTGCTATTATGTCTTCATCTTTTTATATACTAGTATTGCAAAAATAGTCTGGTAATGGGCACTCCTTTCCTACTAGGTAGAGTAGGTTTGAGAAGAATTGGTGTTAGTACTTCCCCGAAAGCCTGGTAAAAATGCACCAGCAAATAGCTCTGAACCTAAACTTATTTCAGTTGGGGGACTTTTAATTATAGCTTCTATCTTACTGAGTGTTGTACTGGTTATTTTCGTTGTTGGTGGCCTCATTTCGGTTTAAATTTGGTTTGTCATATTCATCTAGAAATGATTATTTTAGATTTTTTTCCAATTTAGTGGAATATATGCTTTAGATACAAACTAATAACTTTCTGAATTTCATTAGTATTTGTTGTCATGGCTTCCTGTCTGCTCTAAATTTTGATTGGGGACTTCTCCTTCTTTCATTTAGTTTGGCTAAAGGCTTGCAGGTCATATTTACCTTCTCAAAGAACCTGCTCCCAACAGTGCTCGCAGCCAAGCTTGACAAGCCCAATGCGGTGCCTAGACCCACATGATGGGTGGATAGGACCAACCCTCACATCTACCAACAGCACCATAAAACAGCCAACAACAAACAAATAAAAGAAGCATTTCTTCATTTTTACTGATTCTTTGTAAACACTTTTTTGCTAGCTTGTTTCCAATTCGCTAATTTCTGATCCAGTTTTACTGATTTCCTTTCAGCTGTTGATTTGTAGTTTGCCTGTTCTTTTGTCCAAGGCCCCAAAGTGTCTGACTGAGTTATTTATTTGAGTTTTCCTAATGTAGGCACTTAGAGCTATCCGCTTCTCTACTCTAGGGCTGCTTTTATTATATCTCATAGCTTTTGGTATGTTATGTTTTTATTTTCATTTGATTCTAGGAATTTTTAAAATTTTCTTCTTGGTGTCTTTAGGGACCCATTTGTCATCCAAGAATATATTTTTTTAATATCCATTAGTTTGTCCATACACTACAGTTTCTCCTGTTGACTTGTGACCAGATAAAATAGAAGAAATTGTTTCCTTGTATTTTTTTTTTATTTTTTTAATTTTTAAAATTATTTATTTATTTAAGATTTCTGTCTCTTCCCCACTGCCACCTCCCATTTCCCTTCCCCTCCCCCAATCAAGTCCCCCTCCCTCGTCAGCCCAAAGAGCAATCAGGGTTCCCTGCCCTGTGGGAAGTCCAAGGACTACCCACCTCCATCCACATGTAGTAAGGTGAGCATATTACTTTGTGTTCTAATATATGATCTACTTTAGAGAATTTTCATAGGCTACTGAGAAAAATGTGGATTTTTTGTAATGTTTAGATGGAATGTTTTATAAATAAGTCTTAAATTCTTTTGATCTATCTTGCCATTTAATTTAGTAGTTTTTTTTTATTTACTTTTGTCAGAAAGCTGTGTGTTGGTGGAAATGAGGTACGGAAGTCACACACTATTGTGTTACTGATACACTGACTTCACATCTAGTAGTATTTATTTTATGGAATTGGATGCACCTGTGTACCTGGATCACTTTGGTTTGAAGTCTCTATTTGTCAAGTATTAGAACAACGACACCTACTTGTTTTCTAGGTCCATTTATTTACAATCATTCCCTTGCTCCCTCACCATTTACCTAACAGAGTATCCGTCATTCGCTGTGGGCCACATTTCTTGAAGACAATAATGGTTTCTTCTTTTTGATATAATCTACCAGTCTTTGTCATCTTATTGGAAAAATGGAGACTGTTAGTTTTCAGAGCTATTATTGAAAACTCTGTATTGATTCCTGTCTTTTTGTAGATGTTGTAGTATTGGGGTTTTTTCCCCCTCTTCTTCATTTGCTTGATTATTATTCTTAAATGATTTTTTTTCCTGTGGCCTCATGGGTGGATTTAGTTTTTTTTTTTTTCTTCAACCTAAAGAATTCTTTCAGGGGTCTTTTGTAGAGCTTGCTTAGTGCTCATAAAGTTCTTTAGCCAATTTTAACATAGAAAATGTCTCTTCTTCAATAATGATGGGTAATTTTTCTGGGCATAGCAATCAGTGTTGTTAGTTGTTGACTTTCAACTGGCATGTCTATTATTCTGGTGGTCTTGGCTTTATCAAGAATCACTTGGTGATTCCCTTCTACTGCCTTCAATATGCTTTTTTTCTCTACATTTAAAGCTTTAGTTAGAATATGAAAAGGGAGGGAACTTTCGGGTCTTGTCTAGTTGGTGTCCCATGTGCCTCCTGTTTCTGTATTGTCGTCTCTTTACTTAACTCTGGGGAATTTTCTATTCGGATTCTTTTGGAAATTTTCCATGCCGTTAGAACAATGTCTTACTTTTTTCTGTTTGTTTTTTGTTTTTATTTTTGTTTTGAGACGGAATTTCTCTGTGTAGCTTTGGCTGTCCTGGAATTCACTCTGCAGACCAGGCTACCTCTTACTTTTTATATGCCCATAATTTATAGATTTTGGTTTTTTTCTTGCATCTCATTTATTTTAGTATTCACACTCATGCCTTCTTATTATTTTATATTTGCTCTTTGTCTTAGTTAAGGTTAGTACTGTTGTGATGAAACACCATGGTAAAAGTAACTTGGAGAGGAAAGGGTTTATCTGACTTATTTTTCTTTCTGCATTGCTATTCCTATTTGTCACGGGAGGACGGGAGGAGGGGAGGAGGTTAGGACAGGAACTGAAATGGCAGGAACCTAGAGGCATGCAGGAGCTGAGGCAGGAGCTGATGCAGGAGCTGCAGAGAAGCACTGCTTATTGGCTTCCACAACGCATCCCTTCCTACTTAGCCATCTCACCACTGTAGCGCATGGTGTTTAAAATGCAGTACTTGTCAGGAATATAGAAAGAATACATATTCATAGAAAATCACCATCGGAAATAGAAGTGTTACAAACAATCTGGTTTAATATCCATTTCCCTTATCAATCATGTGATTTAACATAACAGAGAAATCCCACATTGTTAATTCCATGGGTAAGCACAGCCAGGCCGTGGTGATACACGCCTTTAATCCCAGCACACTCAGGACAGAGGCAGGTGAGTTCGAGACCAGCCTGGTCCACAAGAGCTAGTTCCAGGATAGTCACCAAAACTACACAGAGAAATCCTATCTCAAAAAAAAAAAAAAAAAAAGCATGTCAGCCCAGGATATTTTGTGGTTAAAAACTCACACCAAGAAAGGCTCAGGGATACACCGGGACTGCAAGCACCCAATGCAGTCACTGGCTGGCTAAGAAAAATTTTATATTGGCTTAAACCTGTGTCTGAGTAGCCCTCTCTGGGTGATACCCCAGAAAATTCATATTTTATTTCCAGCACGAGATAGGTTTTTCTTCATTCCTTCTATCTCTTCATTGAATTCCCCTTTCACGCCTTACATCACCTTCCTGATTTCAGCCAGCCTTTGGCTTGTGGTCTGGATCAGGAATTTAGTTTCTTCTTTGTTTTCCTTGCACATACTTATAGCCATTCTTTTACGTTCTCCAAAATTTCATCTTTCTCTCACTGGAGGCCATGACAGTAAGATTAGCAGATGTTGGAGGCACTGTTTTTCTCTGTGTTCTGTCTGTGTTTCTTATGTATTACGACACCAGAACTTATTTATTTTTGTTTGTTTTCTTTTCTTTTCTTCTAGCTACATTCTTTCAGTTGAACTATTCGCAATGTTCACATGGGACTTGGCTGTTCTAGAGTTGAGCTGGCTTGGTTCAGAAAATAGTTTCTCCATCCAGGTGCTCAGGGTGTCCTAGAATATTAGCTGTGGGAGCAATTACTACTGGCTGGATGGTCCCACCACGTGAGTATCCTACTAGCCAATTAATAGTTACCATTTGACTTCAGTAAACGCTTGTTGAGAGCCAGACTGATGCAAGGCTTTCTCAGAAAGCCTGATGAGAGAACAAAGAAAAAGGTGGTCCTGTGTCCTTTTCCAAGACCAGAACTAAGCTGGGACTGGATCCAGAGCCTTGAAGGAGTCAAGGTTGTGGTTTCTGGAGACCCGATTCTTCCCTCTGGTTATCAGTCCTATGGCAGCCGTGTCCCAGGCATCCTGTGTTCTCTTTGCCAACATTGATTTAGCTCTCTGCCGGCCTTGGACATTTTCCTCCTGCAAACAGTATGTAAGGAACTGTGCTCCTTATTAATCCTGCTCGAGAGAAGTCATCAGCTTGTGCAAAACCGGCCAGTCCCAGCTTCTCTTTGTTGTCTTTGTTTTTCATCCCTGGTTCTTCCCCTTGACACATTGCCATTAAGGACCCTTGTTCTTGAAGGCTTGGGTCAACACTGGAGGACAAGAGGCAGGCATAGTGGTGTGTACTCAGACTCTCATCACTAAGGTCATATGTGGGAGAGAAGTGAGGTGGATGAGAGTAAGGATAAGAATAGGATGGTGTTTACAAAAGAAAAGAGAGGACATTAAAGTATCTGGGAAAAGAATGCAGGGATGTTGTTAGTACCCACGGGCTTTGGAGATTTTTAAGACAGTGGAAAGTTATAATTTGGAAATTAAAAGAAGAGGGGCTAAGGATAAGAGAAGGAAAACACAGGGAGAAAGGAAGTATATGAGGCGTGGGCAAAAATATAGTAGAGAGTGTCTTATCGTGGGCTGTTTGAAGACACACGTCGCAGTCCTCAAGCCTACCTGAGCAATATACAGACAAAAGAGAAACCATCACGGACATGTGCAAGAGTACGGATTAAAGAACAGAAAATAAGAAATTCAAAGAATATTTATGGAAGCGATTGATGGTATAGATGTTCTGAGTTCAAAGGGAGAAATTTTAGACCCTTATAGCTCTGAAGGGATATTCTTGGTTCTGCGTGGAGGAGGGGGAATGGAAGTCACGGATCTCTACAGTCTCCCTGTGTTCTGGGTAGTTCTGGCATGTGGAGAAGGGACGGAATAAGTGCTTTCCTGGCATTTCCTTTGGACGCCGTCACTCCATCTCACCCGCTTCTGATCCTGCAGGTCTGGTGTCTGCGAAGAACAGCAATTACCATGCAATTTCTGTTGCTCTTCTCTGGGCAACTGGATTCACCTGGTGCATGGTGCCATTCAAGAAGACTGCAGTCTGGAGATGTTCATTGCTCCCATCTGTTTCCCTGTAGGAATCTTGCCTGGCTTAATACATCCATTGTTTCTTGCAAGCAAAACAACTTACTGTGTATTACTTAGACGACTTTCTCTCACTAGTGTCAGTGATGTGGCTTCTGACCAGATGGCTGATCCTACTTTTGCTAGATCTTAAAACATAGTCCCCTCCTCCACCTTTGGATAAGTAATCACATAAAAACTGCAACCGATCCCTAAGCATCACCTTCTCTGCCTTTCCTAGGATCGTGAAATGAGGAAGCACCAAGCAAGAGTGTGTGTGCTCATAAGCGCATCCGTCCACACGTAGTACATCATTTTGTTTCTCTAATGCACAACTCTCATTTGCCTTCCAAAATGAAGACTTTTTACATTCTTTAATGCATGAACCTACAGACTATGGGCGAGGAGGTTGCTGCTTAGTGCTTTTTATGTCCTAATACCTTCTATAATTTTGAGCATTGCTGTTCCTCTTTTGAAAATGGGGAAACCAAGGCTTAGTAATCACGTGGTGCCCACTAGCCTTGATGCACCTCCTGTGATTGCAGCAAAGATGGTCTCTCATGAGTTCCGGGGGCGGGAGTTGTATTATCCCGAGACTTGAACCAGAGTTTCCCCACACCAGGGGTCTTTCACACTGGGGTCTTTATTGAGTCTAAATGAGAGAATTACAACCTTCTTCTGGTCTGATGTGTTCAATAAATTCTCAGGCCTAGTTTTCTTTTTTTTAAAAAAGAAAAAGATTTATTTATTTATTTATTTATTTATTTATTTATTTATTATATATGCAGTTTTCTGGCATGGAGGGTACCAGATCTCATTACAGATGGTTGTAAACCACCTTGTAGTTGCTGGGAATTGAACTCAGGACCTTTGGAAGAACAGCCTGTGCTCTTAACCTCTGAGCCACCTCTCCAGCCCATGGCCTAGTTTTCTTAATGAAACCATATGTTCTACACTACCAGTTCACCCTGATGTTTATAGGGTGGTATCCTTCCTATTCCCAGGAATAAGTCGTTGATCAATTTATACCATGTGGTTGCTGTCGGACATAAAGTGGCATTCATAGGGCCACTTGGGTGCAGACCTATTCTCTGTCCCCAAAATGGATGGAGTCAAAGGGGACAGGGAGATGGCTCAGTGCATCAATGTACTTGCCACCAAACGTGATAACCTGAGTACCATTCTCAGGATCCACATGGTGGGAAGAGAAGCAGCTTGTCCTCTGACTCTTACACACATGCATCCGTACACACAGAGACTCACAGAGACAACAGACACCCACACACAAACATGCAGGCGCAGGCACTCGCACGCGCGCACACACACACAGAATTAATAAATAAATGTGATTTTTTTTAAAGTCAAAGTTTAGAGTCAAAAGCTACTTGTGAAATCAAGCCTGTCACATGAGGCACCGTCTGAAGAACCGCTACTTCACAAACATGCAGCAATTCAGGGCAGCACACAGCCCGATGTCAAAACACAAGCGGAAGACTCCCACGTCTGCATGAGCTCTTGGTCTGGACACAGCCTTCAAGTCTGAAAGCCAGAGAATCCAACTACTTTTTCCTTGAAAATCATTTCAGGCCCCACCTTCTGTGTCTCTCTGTTAACACTCTTAATTTTGTATGTGAAAAAAAAAATGGTTCCAGGGAGGAAGGAATAGAAACACCTCTTCTTAGAATTTAGAACACTGTGTGAAAAGAACAGTCACAGAGGGGCCCAGGACAGCAGGGCTCTGTTTGCTGCACATAGGGGGGCCCACCAAGGGAAGGCCGTTTGCCCCTGCTATGGCACGGTTATAGTTTATAGGTTCATATTTTTCTCTCTTTAGTTTCTAAATCTGTTTTATTACAGTATCTCCTGAGGCTGTTATGAGGGGAAATTAAGTAATGCCGCTCAGTAGGCTTACAGAGCCATGTCTTGGATGCTCAGAGCGCTCAATAAACCTTATGATCACCATTCTCCTTTTATGTCCAGATGTGTCTCCGGCTTTTCACAAAGTTCTCAACCTGCAACTACCCATCTGTTAGCTTTCTCTGCCACCCTCGGGGTAGCCTCCCAGTTTAATGAAATGGAATAATATTAATATCAATAAAATAAAGCCGGTGGAAAATGGTAGCTTGCAGCGATAATCCTAGGCCAAGGCAACAAGGCCACTGAACCCCAGGGTGGGTCACCCCAAATAAAACCACCTCAAAAACGTATTTTTTTTTTTTTTTTTTGGATTTTCGAGACAGGGTTTCTCTGTAGCTTTTGGTTCCTGTCCTGGAACTAGCTCTTAAGCAATGTAATTCATAAGGAGCCGGGCTAAATTTCCAGTGGTGGGAGAAGGGCAGAATTTCACAATCGTTCTACCGCCGCCCCAGCTTGAGGAAGATGGAAGGTCCTCTGCCCCAGGGGTGCTCTGAGCTTCCAACACGGCTATTTTTCATTTTCTTTTCTTTTTTTCATCAACACCTTTAAAAATATATATTTACAGAACAATTCCCCATTCTCTGGGACTCTTAGAAAAAAAGGTCCATTTTGGGGAAGTAAAACAAACAATGGAGACGAGTGTAGCACCGTCCCCCAAATCACCAGCCCCCAGGTCTTCAGGCCTGGTCTGGGCCAGTGCTGACAGGAGGTGAGCCTGGGAGTTTTTTGAATCCATTCCTTCCAGCCTAGAATTGATACAAGATAGGCTTCATTTTCCCCATTCCTCCCTCCCAACTCCAGGGACACTTAAAAGGGTCCTTTGCACCCGCCCGCAGGAAATTGGGGAGCTGGGAGGGAGGGAGCTGAAAATACACATTTGGTATCAAAAATAAACACTTGAGGTTGGCAGGAAGACCGCCTCCAAATCCATTACTTCCCACCCACCCGCCTACCCACCCATCATATATAGGAAGGGATGCTTCCCCCTCCCCTATCGAAAAGCCCCATTTAAAAATAGATTATACTATCAAAATGGAAGAAGATGGGAGACAGAGAGCCCTGGAGTACTTGCTGGAGGGGCCCCCCAGACGGGGACCACCACCCCAAAAAAACCCTCCATTGGGAGGTAATAGGCAGGCCCCCAGGGAATTTGGAGACAAAGGAATGGCTTCTCAGGGGAAGAACAAGAGGAGTATTCCTCCCTGGCTGAAAGCTTACTTGAGAAAGAACAAGCTGACTGAGAAGGTTGGGGAGGTAGCAATTCCTATGTGAACAGTGTGATTCTTCCTTGGCTACCACTCCCAAACCATTAAATCATACAATTGCTTCCTGGACTCAGATATGGCCAGGAATAATAAAACAAAACAAACTAGCTCTTCAACCCAGGTTGCAAAATAAAGACAGGGCACCCTCATCTCCCCAAGGGCAGGCTGAGAAATAAATAAAGGTCCTTTTCAAGCCATACCCTGATTGTCTTGTTTTAGGGAGAAAACTGGGGAAAAAATGGGGGAGATGTCTTAGCCACTCTCCTAAAAGGGTTAGGCCAGATTCTTCCCAGTGGCCTTCAAAAAATAAATAAATAAACCGCGTCTACCATTCAAGTAGGAGACGTGTAAAGGCGGCCACTGGGAGGCTGGCAAAAAGAAAGAAAGAAAGAAGTTGTCTATTTTGGGTGGAAGTTAGTGAAAGATTCTCTCTTTCCCAGGAATATCCACCCCACCACGAGCAGAGAGCATGAGTCTGTCAGTTGAACTGTTTCTCCTTGAGATGGCTCGTTGGAGAGTTGAGGAGCAGGGATGGAGGGACTCCAGAAAGGGGGTGGTGGTGGAGTCATGGCTTCTGGGGCCCTGGGGAGAGCACCACGGGGGTCGAGAGGCCATCCACGCTGATGGAAGGGATGTGTACCTGTGCGCTGCCACTGGACGGAAACTGGAAGGAGAGCTTGGCTGGACTACGGGGTGCAATTGGACTCAGAGTGCTCCAGAAGTGAATGCTGGGGGGCAGTGAGCTTGGTGTCAGCATCACTGGGGTCAAGGTATGTGTGGGTAGCAGGGATGGCGTCAGTGCTGGCCCTGGTGCCTGCAGACCAGAGCCTGTTCCTGATCCAGGAGTCCGTTCAGGTCCTGGGCTACCCAGCAGGCTTGGGCTGAGTGGAAGTTCCAAATCCCGGGGCTTCCGGCCCTTCTGGGGTTGGGCGATCTCAGCGGCAGAGGCAGAGAGGCCACAAACCTGGGCTGTGTTTTCCATGATGACAGCTGGGAGCCGAGCTGAGGGTGAGACTTCTGGTTCCGTTTTGACAGTTTCTGAAGCAAAGCCCGCAGCCCCCACTGCTTGCAGTTCTTCCCTGGGTCCCTCCACTTTCACTTCTGGGGGCAGTGGACGGCCGAAACCTGGCTCCAGACTCAACTCTTCCTGTGATTTCTGGTTTGTGGCCTCGGGTGGGGTCAGGATAACCTGCAGGGGCAGACCAGCCTCTTCAGCCTCCAAACAGGCTTCTATGGGGTTCGGACTGGTGCTCCTGCTCCCCGAGGGAGGTGCTGGTACTCCTGCAGGGGTAGTGTTGGGGAGCACTGAGGCTGGCCGAGGATGCAGAGGTGGTGGTGGCTGTGGCTGCAGGGACTGGATTGTGAAGGTTGAGTAGAGGCCCGAGCGCATGTATTCGTTCCGGCTGCTGCGTGCTAAACCACCTTGGCCGGCCATTCCTGCACCCTTGGGTGTTCCTGGGGCTGGATGGATAGCAGCAGGGGCCATGGCGACAGTCGAGGCTGCAGACACCTCAGGCGGGGGTGGGCAGTCTTCAGTGGAGCACCCTGCAACCTCTGGGAAGGATACAAACTTGTAGACAAACTTCTGACCGCTCACCTTGCGGATGATATTCTTGTCGTAGTAGTACCGCAACGCCCGGCTGAGCTTGTCGTAATTCATGTTGGTCTTGTTCTTGCGCAGCCCCCACAGACGTGCCACCTCCTCTGCGTCCACCAACTTAAATTCACCGCCATCCCGTGAGGTCCATGAGATGATGTGGCCGTTTCCTTGTTCTCTCAGAAGCTGCAGCAGAAACTGCCACAGCGTCACAGACGGGTCCATCGCTAGGGAAGTGCTCACGCCATTCCAGAGGGACCTGCGTGTGGCGCGGCGGGGGCGGCGGCGGCAGCTCCGGGGGGCGGGGGCTCCATGCGAGGCCCCACCGCCCCCCAGGCCCGGGTTCCAAGGCGGCGGCGGCGGCGGCGGCGGCGGCCGGGGAGCAACAGCGGCGGCAGCGGCGGCAGCGGCGGCACCCGGAAGCCGCCCCTGCGTTTCCCGTCCCTGTTTTTCATTTTCAAAAGCTTTATTTAACCATTGTGTTCTGAGGCTTTCTTCGGGGCTAAGTATAGAGCAAAACACAACGGCGCCAACCACTCCTGCTGAGCAGAAATGAGCAGTGTTCTCGCCAAACCCTCTCGCGAGTGTTCATGGTTTCTCTAATTTCTCTGTTATTTTCCAATGTTGTCTACCTATGCCGGAAGTGCTCATTTTTTGTCCCTCCTAACCCAGCTTTCCTCTTATTCCATTTCTGTTCCCTTTCCACACCTTTACTTTTTGGGGGTTTCCGTTCCCGTTCCGAGTTTCCAACTAACCGGGCAGTTGTGGATGGTGAGGGGGTCCGGTCAGCCCGGCCTAGACATGGAAGACCTAGAATGTTGTGACAGGAACATCACTCCGAGGAAAAGGGGAAATTGCTACCTCTGGCCAGCACATCGAGTGCACCGACTAACCCAACTGTTCGCGATGGTAAAAGGTGGTTCCACATCCTTCCAAAGGCTGATGACATTGAAAAGATGAGCTACCTCTCTGGCCGTGCAGAAGAAGGGACTTGTGGTGACCATTTTGACTAAGGCTCCAGCAGCCTTAAACTCAGTTCTGAAGGGAGCTGGCGGCAACCCCCCCAGTCACTGGCGATGCAGCTCATACACACAGCTGTTCTAGAAGCTCCTCACCTTAATACTGGGCATAGTGTACCGGCATGGCTTCTGATAAAAGCTTCTAAAACTAAAGGAGAGAAGGGAAAAAAACAGAAGTGTAGGTTACCGAAAAGACCGCGATGTACGAACCGTGGGAAAAGAAGAACTATGTAAGACGCCAAAACACAGCTGTAGAAGTTCAGAGAATAACATGCAAGATAGATGCTGCCAGAAGCTACACCTGGACATGTTCTGCACAAACTTCAGGGGAAAGAGCAATAAAGATGAAACCTTGAAAGAAGTCAAAAGAAAGTAAGTGACTCGGCTAAATTCTTCTTCAGACAGGCGTTGATGCAATGCGCATGCGTAGTCCTCCCATTCTTTCACCCCTTACCTGTAGGGCACTGGAAACAAAAATGTGATCCTTTGGGCTGGAGAGAGGGCTCAGTAGAGAAGAGCACTGGCTGCTCCTCCAGAGGACCCAGGCTTGGTTCCCAGCACCCGCGTGGAGGCTAACAACTGTCCCTACTCCAATCCCAAGCAAGGGACCTGACACCCTCTTCGTGAGTGCCAGGCTCACAGGTGTTAGTCACATAGGCATGTATGTAGGGGAAACTCGTGCCCCCCCCCCCCCCCCCAGTTTTAACAGAAAGAGAATTAAGGCCATTTTCCCCTTTGAAAACACGAAGGCGAGAAAAGGAGTAGGAAGAAAATATTTAAATCACCGACTGAGAAAGACTGACAACTCAAGAGTTTGGCAGAATGTAAAGCCATCCTTCAACAATGAAGGAGAAATAAAGGACGCAGACGTACGGAATTGTATAAAGTTACTATTAGATTTGTCTTTCAAGGCATAAGAATGAAAGTTCTGCAAGGCAAAGGAAAATAGTATTGGTTTAAAACTCTGATCTTTGTAAAGAAAGGAAGAGTTTTAGAGAAGGAAGTTTTACTCTTAAACATTTAATTGGTCTAAGAGTTAGCTGTCATTCAAAAACGGCAGCATATCACTACACAGTCATCATACACGTAAAATGAACAACCATGATGTTAAAGGGGCAGGGCAGAGGAATTGCTAATATTTTTATTGTTAAACGGTACTCTTACGACTACGAATGGGTATAGTTGATTAATTGAAAGTGAATTCATTATAAATATATACTTCAAATTCAAGAGTACCCACTAAAAACGCTCTAAAGTAATACATATACCGAGAAGAGAAATATCTTAAGAGTTATATAAAAATGCTCTATTCCCAACATAAATGGTGGAAAAAGAGAGAAACCCAAAAGCAGACAGGAAGGGCAACAGGTAGAACCAGATACGCACATGACAAAGATTAATTATGTCAGCATGGAACTACAGTCATTTCAAAGGCCACCTTCACTAGAGGTCAAAGGCGGTCAGGGCTGGTCTAGAAGCGAAAATTTTAAACATCAATGCCACCTATCAGCCCAGGGTTCTTTTTCTCCAATGAAAAAGAAATCACAAAGGAGCAAAAATCAATTATCTTGATATCAACAACCCTGAGCTTTAGAGTGTTGGGACCCTTCCAATCAGTGTTACAGTCCTGGGCTATGGCACCTTGAAGGTACTGTTTTGGCTCCAGTTTAGAGAGATAGAACTCTTGAGATGTTAGTGTTATAGCTCTGACCTTGGGGGTGTCAGATCCCTTAGTTCTCAGAGTTATGGCTCAGAGTTGAAGATGTTGAAAGCCTCAACTTTTTCTTTTTCAGATCCTCAGTGGCCCTCTGGAATTCTTCTGGCAGTCAGGTTTTGCAGCTCCTCCTCTTTGTAGCCCTTCTTCGCTCTCCACGGCTTGTCCCTTCTCAGCAATGTGCGTTCCGCAGCCTCAGCTCTCTACCTTCTACCTCCCTATACTTGGTCTCTCCCCAGTCTCAGGTTCCCACAGTCTCCGCTCCTACCCACTCTCTGATACTGTCAGGTACGTCTGAAGCTTCCGGCCCAGGGGACTGTATCTGCTGCTTGCGTTCCCAGCTCAGCTCGCTCTACCTGTGATAAAAACCGCAGAGGCGTTATGGGGGCTTAGGCTGAAGTGTAAGAGGAAGGGAGGTCTCCCAGCCTTCACCCAGAGTGAGATGACTACTGCGCGTACAAGCAGCCATGCATGGACACCATCTATCATGTCCCGGGGAGGCGTTTCTGCCTGGCCAGATGGACGGCTGCCGTGGAGAAGTCTGGACAGATTCCGGCTGAGCATCTGGAGCAGCTGTAGGTTGGGTCATGCAACTGGCATCTGAAGCTGCCACGGCTCAAGTCTCTTGAGCTATTCCGAGCATTTGGAACAGCTGCAACCAAATCAAAGCCTTCCTGAGAAAAGCCACAGTTGGAAGAGCGACCACGATGGTGGCTGTCGTTTCCACAACTGGGAAGAAAACTCTTCTCAGGAGTTTGTGCCTGGTTTGAAGTCTTCTTCTGGGCGGCTTTTCTAGACCAGAGTCTTCCTGAGCAGCTGTGTGGTGGCCTGGACCATCAGTGATGACTGCCGGGGGTGGAGGGGAGGGAGAGTGCGGGAGATGACTGCGGGGGAGCGGGGTCTGGGGAGGGGACGGAAGGGGTACTGGGGACGGGGTGAAGGGGGGGACAGGAGGACGGACTGTTGGAGAAATAGCTGCTTCATTGATATCTCCTGTAGCCTCCACAAAGATGGGAGGAATGACCTGGTTGCCTCCGCCCTGAGGGACCTGCAGGAGCTATAGCAATAACATTTTATAGCTCCATGGGGCACCGCCTCTGTTTGACCAGGGAAGTCCCCCTGTGCTGCCTCTGCACAGCTGCCTGCTGGAGCCAACACACGGGAGGAAGCAAATGTAAAGTTTAAAACTAAGTGGAAACATACCATCTGGATTCCTAAAGTACTGCGAAAATGACTATCTTACCAAAAGCAATCTATAGATTAAATGAAACCGCCGTTAAAATAAACCCTCATGCCGTGCTTTATTTAAATGGAAAGTCAATCTTAACACTTATATGAAAGCACAAAGGCTCCCGCTAGCCAAACCAATCTTAAGCACAAGGCACAATGCTGTGCGTGTCCCATCATACCTGACTTCAAACTGTACCGTTGGGTCACAGTAACAAAAAGTAGCATGCATTGGCACAAACCCAGAATTGTAGACGAGGATTCCAGAGAGAACTTAGTGGCAGGCTGGTAAGTGGAGGGGGGGGCTTATTAGCCCCGCTGTAGCTGCTTCTGCTCATGTTGGCCATCCACATGCTAGAGCCTAGTTGTTTGGGGAAATGGCGCTACAGATCCCAGACTGCACCACAGCTTTTGGGTGAAGATTCCTATTGTGTGACTTTTCTTGAAGAGACAAAACCCACCTATTTTCCTCAGACAGGACACCCATGCCAACCAAAGAAACCAAGTCTACCTTAGTGAGCCAGTGAGTTTATATTAGGGTTGCTTACAGGTGCAGGGGTGACTCAAAGGCAGCTCTGTCTCCAGAAAGCCCATGCGTGACTACGAACTTTTTGCACAACTTGTGTGCATGCCTGCTTCCGCTCACACCCATTACAACCTTAGTCTGGTGGTTGTGAATCTTTTAACTTTCTGAGCTTCCTGGTTTTAAGTTTCGTGAGTTTCCTGGACCTTGTCGATCTCTCGGCTTCCTTCCTAAACCTTATGAGCATCAGTATGGAGGAAATAGCTCCCAAACAACTGTGTGTCTTATATGTACACTCTTACACCCAGGGCTAAAGGTTTTGCTAAATCAAGAATTCCCAAGGCCAGGGCAATAAGAGCAAAAATCTCACTGCTCTTCTTCAACACCACTTGAGGGGTCCTGAGTGCTCGGTCATTACGTGGCCTCAGGAAGAGGCTTAACAGCGATACCAAAATGGGGAGTCCGAATCCAGCCACGCCTTAAAAGGCTGTTAGCATAGTTACGGTGGTCTGACTCTTAGTAGCACTTTTCTTTCCTTTTAGGGGCCAAAGTCAACTGTTCTGGAGTTAGGACAGGCCCTAAATAGTTTGCCATTTGTTGGGAAGTTTGAGCCTTTTGAGAAGCTAGTCATAATCTTGTGGTTCCTAGAAATTTCTGAACTTAATATTGTCATCAGAGTCTAATTTTGTAGGGCTGCACATAAGATCACTTATCTTCTGAGGCAAGCCATTATTTTTTAAAGTTATAGTCATCATTTCAAACAGGTGAGGGCTACCTCTGAATTCCTGTGATAAAAATTCATGCAAGTTTATTACATATATGCAATCTACATGTTTATTGTGTATTGAGTCTCTGCTCTTGGAATCAAGCAGATATTTTGATTTGGGATATAACAGAAATGTGGTGGTTTAAAGGAGAATGGTCCCAATAGGTTCGTATGTTTGAATGCTTGGTCTCCAGTTGGTGGAACTGTTTGAGAAAATAGGAGGTGTGGCCTTGTTGAAGGGGGCTTGGACTTAGTGGAGGAGGTGTGTCACTGTAGCTACCCATACTTTGGGAGGGAAGTTCTGAGTTTTCCTTTTTAAAATCGACTTAGTAATTGATGATCTTATAAAAAAAATCTGTTCTGGGACCAATTGGAGGATTACTATAATTCTAAAAATCTCTTTCCAACAGGACAATCAGGGAGACCTACAAAGGCTTACAAGAAAACCCTGTTCCAAGACTACATGTAAAAGACTTTGTTAGGCTTTTGATTTGGGTTACATAACCATTGGTTTATCACAGTTGTGTTCTGAATTATACATTAGCTCAGAGTATAAAGCCACAGCACCTAGAAGAATATTAATATATTTTTTTTACCAGTCCCGTCAAGAGTAGTTCAGGGGTCTTTGACAATAGCTACAGTTACTTGAGCAAGGTTTCAGTAAGAAGTCTACAATAGCCATCATCAGAGCCAAGAGTCCATCCTTCCTTAGGAGGATGTGACATTCTTGTTTTCAGTGTCTCATCTCTTTAACAAGACAGCAAAGCCCTGGATTTGTTTGTTTGTTTCTCAGGACCCTGTTGTGAGCCGTTCTTTTACCAATGCCCTGTTTTTTCAGACAGGCAGCAGGCCCTGGCTCCTTTATAGTTCTCATTTCTTTACTTGGGCTTTCTCTGGGTAGACAGTAACTTGTTTTCTTGAGGAAATATATTATTCCTTAGAATTTAGGCTATTAGTCAGGCTTTTCCGTGCCTGCAATCATTTCCACTGGACCATTTTGAGCTACCTCTATTTTATCTCTGTGGTTAAAAACCCCAAAGGTCAAATTTAATAGTTGTTTTACGGATGTCTGGAATCTCAATACCTGTTTTTCTAGCTTCTTCCTAATGTTCGGAGCAGACTGAATGATAAACTAAGTAGCCAGCAAGATCTCACTTTCATTAGAGCTGAGATCGGTATTTCGACATTCCCCTAACGTCTCAGTAAGATAGTCTAAAAATAGGGTCAGAATCTCATCTTTATTTTCAATTGCTTCTGCAACCTTACAGTTTACTGTCACATCCATTGTCCTCTGCATTTTGTCACTTAAGTAAGAATATGGTTGTGCAGTTAGAACATTGCTTCCAGCTTGTTTTCAGAACCCCACTGCCAGATTTGGGGAAGCGGTGACCCCAATAGACCATGTTCTCTAGCATGAATTTCTTCCCAAAAGGAGCCCAAATTCCTCACTT